CCATCCGAAGTGCAAGGATTTAAAGAACACATCCTTTTATACGCATTTACAGGGCAAAATTTAGATAAAGGATATGCAAGCAAAGGTATCCTTAAAATACGATTACCCAACTGAATTGTTTTTGTCCATTTGAATGCAACTATTATAAGAGACGGAAAGACTGTAACATCACCTCTGCATAGCTGTTTGTTTTTGTCAAATTTCTTGGTTGATACTGGAACTAAATTAGACTTCCTGCTTAAAAGTAATAAAGCAAAAAGAAATAAACACCAATATGTCGCATCAAGAGGAGTATTCAAATTCAAATGTTCACGAAATTTTCCTAGAATTTCTAAAGTAATAGGAAATGCCTGTTTAGGTAAATGTTTTAATTTCCTATCTAACCCTTTCATCGTCAATTTCAATTCGTAAGACGAAAACATATCCACATGTAATCCTAACAAGAGGAAAAGAACTTTAATTCCATTTAGATAATTGCGAATAGATTGAGCTGATCTGAAACTTCTACTGAGAAACTCTGAATAAGTGCATAATAACTCAGCATTAATATCAAACGGTTCTAAATGAAAGTAATTACAAAACAATAAATAGGCTCTCCACTGCGTTTTAAAATTAACCAAAGTACCTGTCGTGAAAGCCGAAATCCTAGTCAAAAACATATCTCGTCTTAGCACTTGCAAATCTACAAATACATAAATAAGCAATTACCAAATATGTTCAAACTGAAACAATTCTTTAGGAATAAAATCTCTAGATAGAGACATGCCTTTTGTCCTCTCGTAAAATTCTAACTGAAATTTATAACCTAAATCCCATCTAGACAAAAGATCCGGTAAACGGTTATCGCAACCTGAAATATGTATAGCTTTTAACTCAAAATTATTTAAAGCTGCAATCCAACAAACTTCCCGCAAACACGACTGCAGGAACACATTTCTGGTAGCGCCTGTATTCAAAACACGAACTGATATCAAATTATCGCAATAAATAACCACCTTTAAATTTGTAAAATGTTTACCCCATAATTTTAAGGCTACTACAATCGTCAACATCTCGAATAAATTTATATGCAAATTTTGATCTAAAATGAACTCCGGAAATGAACAGTGAAAGTATCTTCCGTCCATCCATTCGCCACATCCTGTCAAACATGCATCAACAGAAAATAACTGATCAGGATTTGAGAATTCATCAGACAAAATCATAGAAACCCCATTATAACCAGGCAAAAATTCCTGCCACCACAATAAGTCAAGTTTAAAATCAGCTTGAATGACTAATTTCCCTTTATCAGGAAAATCTCTTAACCAATTCAAAAGTCTTGAGACAAAAATTCGGCCAGAACGCACACATTGAGATACAAAATTTAATTTTCCCAGCAATGATTGTAATTCTCTCTTTGTACAATCTGTGCTACAGAGCCAATTAGAAACTAACTGCAGAATCTCTGCCAATCTTTGTGTATCAATAGAAATTGTCATATTCTCAGAATCAAATAAAATGCCAATAAAAATCATTTTTGTACTAGGCGGACAAGCTTTCTCAATTGATTCTTCAATGCCACACTTCTGTAAAATAAGACCCAATTTAGCATAAGCATCATCATTGCTGGAAGGAATATCACATCCAGCCAAATCATCTAAATAGTTCAAAATATCTACACCCATGTTTTGACATATAAATGCAATAGCATTTGTTGTTCGCATACATATATATGCAGCAGATCTCAAACACATTGTTAATACACGATCGTAATACAAGTGTCCTCTCAATTTGTAACCTAAGAGATGGATGTCACCGGGGTCAACGACTAATTGTCTATAAGCCCGTTTCAGGTCCCTTTTAAACATTTTACAACCGTGACCTTTACTCTTAATTAACATAATAAAATCATCAACCGTGGGATACGAAACTGAAATTTCATCGCCTAAATATCGATCTTTGAAAATACCAGAATTAACCGCCTCGCCCTCTGGAAAGCTCAAATCAACAATTACACTGCGTTCTATCGAATCCTTTTTGGAACAGAATTTTGCCTTAAATGGTCCAACAATTGCTTTATAAGAACTTTCTTTTTTCAAATATTTGGCAATATCATCTGGAAAATCAGTAGCCCCCGAATGATTACGGAAAAAAGTAGACCTGAACGGGCTCCCATCGTGACCCACCGGCCATCCATACTCCAAGAAGTCACAAACCTGAGCGTCACTATAATTCTGTAACAAGCTTCTTAAAAAAAGATTATTAATTTTAGAGTAAATTGGAATTCTACAACCCTGAAAATTGAACAATCCAGAATTTTTAACAACATTATGAATAGTTACAAAATTTTGCATATCATTTGTACCCAAATAACTATTACAACAAAGAGTACATTTAAGTGAATGTCTAAAACCCCATAATGCTTTATGAAAATCAGGTAATTGAACATGTTGATTTAGTCATTCATTATGATGAGGACATGCAGAAGAATATTCAGGATGATGACTTTTAAGTTTGTCTAATCTATAACAAATGGCACAAAAATGATTAACCTCACGTTCAACACCTCTAATCATAATTTTATGCGGTGATGTTTTTGAACATTTATTCTTCTGAAATAAAGAACAATACCATAACGTAGGTGTCTTGGACTCTTTTTTACCACCAAAAGAAGGCTTCTTATCGAACTCCTGTTTAACATATTTAGACAGAAGAGGAACTTCCAAATTATCAGGAGTATCTTTCCAGGTTTTAACCCCCGTTTCAATTTGTCTCAAAAATGCAGCGTAGAAGTAAAGTAAAGATCTCCACTAATAGATAGAACTGTAATATACAATTTTCTTCAAAAGAGACAATCTAGTATTTCTCTCGTCAGTTTTAATTTTGCTTGACCCAATTATTTCTAATTCTCCCGCAACAAACAGCTTTAAATCTAAATCTTGAAATGAAACAGATTTATTTATATATTCGTACTGAAGTGTAGTATGGGGCCAAGTTTGTGGATTCTGCACGTCATCGCTAGCTTTAGTTTCCATACCTGATTTAACCTTTCGCTTTTTAAGTGATTTCTTTTTACATGACGAATCTGTGCCTGACGTACTAGAAGTAGCATCATCAGTACTAGACTCGGATGAATCATAATCAGAATTATCAGATGATTCTGAAATTACTCGTGACTTGTGTTTTGTCATCCTAGAGCTACCCGACTTTTTCAACTTTTTGGTATTAACCGATTTAACCTTCGGGACATGAACACTGTCGTCCGAATCGGAATCTGAATATTGTAATTGAACTTTTGAACACTGCTTTTTTAAAGATTTTTTTTAACGTTTGCGTAAATGCGAAGAAAAATCAAGCTCACTATCAGAACTATCTTGAGCAATTTCACTAGAATCGATTAAATCTATTAAATTATTCTTTTTTAAAATATCTGATAATTGTTTTTATACTAATTTAGTCAACACTTTCTTATTTCTTAATTTTTCTAAATTAATCTCACCCTTCCTTTTAAAACTTTTTGAGTCCCTGGTATCTTTCCTTTTAGCTGATTTTGTCTTCTTACCGGCTGTTTCAGTGGACTTTACTTTAGGTGCACTCGACTGGAGCTGGCGCGGTCTGCTAGACTTCTCGCCTACACCTTTCTCCTTGACTAAATCATTAAGTTTACTCGACTCCACACATTTACTTTTCAAGCGCGTTTTTGGAATTGCCCCCTGTTTTTCAAAATCGGCTTTTTCAAGTTTTCTTTCTTTTTCGGAAATGCTTACTTCTAAATTATGGATCCGATGTTCCAACCTATCTTCTTCATCGTCAGGTGTAGTCTCATGATCAAAAATATCAGATGTCGGGTCCGACACATCGAGTACGTCCTCATAACCAAAACCAAATTCACTTATAAATTTATAATTTTTTCTTGTTTTATTTCGGGTTACAGGCATGATAAGCCTCCTGTGTAAGACACGGCAACTTGAAAAAATAATAAATTCATGCAACAAATGACTTGATGAAAAATTAAAAAGGAAAATTAATCAACAAAATAAGTACTTACGAAAAATAAAGTTAAAAAAGTTTCAAAGTTCAAATAAATCAAATGTAGTTGCCATGCCTCACAGGATGAGCTTCTAACAGAAAACACCACATTAGTTTTCGGCTATCAACGGTAGAATGAAAAACTTTAATTCCTTTAAATCACAAGTCTATAAAGGAACCTATCAAAATTCATTGTTATGTTATAAAATTCATAACAAGTTGTATCATTAGCTAAATGTAAAGAACCGAAATAATTCGAACAGTATAAAGTCTATTTCTTTAATCTCCAGTCGCCAATTATATATTTTTAATTAATTAAAAATAGCACAACGTTATTTTTATTTTGACGTATGAACAATGAAATTACCCATAGTTCTTTAGATTCTGAAGCGGCCAATTTTAACAAAATCTATGAATATATGTGAAAAAGAATAACAAGAATTACCAAACAAATATTGAACAGTACAAGATACTACACCAACCACAAACAGCATGCAAATAAACAAACATCAAGTCTTATTGGTATATGCAGGATTTAAATAATACACTTCGTCGGTAAACTTTCATTTCATTACTTAACACATAGTGATGGTGCACTCCTACCTTGCTTACTTGATCTCAGACGCCTTAGTCTTTCAGTAAATTGTTGTTTTTTTAAGGTCAAAAGACTGGATAGGTACCGCTTCTAGTTCTTTATTGATGCCAAAGGAGAACCGGCCCCATATTAGTCAGTGTGCGGTGTTACAACAATTGAAATGTAAAAGTGAGGAGCGATTAACGCCTGTCATAACAAAGTAGCTGACTAGCTATACCCATTAAAATAGCAAAGATTTCCATTTTTTTACTTGATAACACACATATTCTTTAAGAAGGTTCCCAAAGAAAATTTAGTGAGTACAATCGATCCTTCATAGAATATTATTTGTTCTCACAAGCCGACAGACATAAGTAGACCGTTTACGCAATATCATAATGTTCCTTGTTTTAGGCTTCAACCCAATGTTTGCTGGTAGTGGTGGATCGGGCATGGGAGGAGGCGGGAAATCTAACAGTGGTTGTTCCGGTCCATTTTGTGCTATGATGTCCACAAGTATGTATTAACATAATTCTTTTACGATGGAAGGTGTGAAAGCTCTGTTATAGACTGGGAGTTTGTACAGTCCCAAAGTTAGATAGAGTCTCTTTATCACCACAGTCGGGGCCTTGCGTTGCTAAACAAAATATTTATGGAAATTGTATCTTTCTACTTAATAAGTTCTCAATGATAAAATATAGCTGCAGTGTTAAAAAGCAGACTAAGATTGTGACGATTTGAATTATCATTGTTATTATCAACATTTAATTCAATTATTTTGCAGCCATTATTCTTATCAACATTTAATTCAAATATTTTACAGCCCTACCTAGCCCTATTCAAATCATTGGGTATGATTCATTATTGTCACAACCATGCATCACTACAAATGTTTCGCTTTTGAATTATATAACGTATTATGGAAAGCTACTTCTGTACATAATTTGTAGTATGATGACACTGTGTCCCCTCAATTGAGAAAACTAACGGCCTTACTTATAACAAAACAAAACAAAAAAGACACAAAATTCAGATCTTATAGTACTCACAGTTACTGACAGCTAGTTCAAAGCCAATAACAACCAATAGACAAAATCATGTATATAGTACATTAAAGAAATAAACATTTAAAAAAAATCCAGGATTAGACACAAACATGTATCAATTCTAGCGAAATTTATCACTTTTACAACTAATGTTTTGTACAAGCTTTAGGGTTTTAAATGGATATCTTTTATATGTTTCAATGTATTTGATATTTTACACTTGCTACACATTCGAACTTGGGACTATGTTGTATATCTGTGGGTTTTAACTTTATTGATGAAAGTAAATCCAGAAAGTGCCTTGGTAGCACCAACTTTATAAAGTTCAATTTTCATTTTCTTATATACCTATTCTATGCAATTATTGTAGAATTAAAATAAATGATTGTTAATAATATATTTGATTGAGTTTCTGTTAATTTCAATCAGTTTGAATCAAAATTGATATCTTAGCCTAATCGACCCATTTTCATTGAAAAGCTTTTCAGTTTATATTTTAACTTAACAAAATCGAACAATAGCAGTCATGGTAGTGGGTATACTTTTTAAATGATGACAATTGATGGTTTCTGTATGACAGATAGATAATCTAATCGTTTTTTTTTTCGTTTGACATGGAAGGAACTTAAATGTTTTTATAATAATTTTGCCTTTCCTTTGATGTGATTCCTGTGGTAAACCTCAGCCGGAAATATGATATAAAGACAGATGAGTTAGCGGGATATGACTGCATACTCTATTTAACTCACATCTAATTCAACCAAATGACATTTCAAATATTTATCGATATAACATATTGATGCTAGCAAAGGTTGATAAACTTTAGTATAACTACCATAATTCCAACCACGTATTCTTTCCGTATTAAACAGATGTTCAATTTGTGCAGTGATGCACACAGTCAAATTTGAGGTGATAGAAGACTCAGAATTCCAAACACTGCACGTTCTTTGCACGCGGAAATCGTATGGCACAATTTATTCAGGTTACTTCTCGTGTGATATAATGAAAAACACAATATCCGATCCTACAAAATACGACTTTGTTATTTCCAGTTGCAGTCAAAACAATATTCTTCATTTTGGGTTCCAGTTGTTTCCCTTACGTACTCATTTGTCATGTTCTATCCCTGAATATGCATGACATCTTTATCACTGGACGTCAAGTAACCACCAAATAATGAATCATGTTCTATGCCTGAATATGCATGACATCTTTATCACTGGACGTTACGTAACCACCAAACAATGAATCGTGTTCTATCCCTGAATATGTATGACGTCCATTTTCACTGAACTAGTACACATTTTTATTTAGGGGCCAGCTGAGGACCACCTCCGGGTGCGGGAGTTTCTCGCTGCATTGAAGACCCATTGGTGGACTTCGGCTGTTATCTGTTCTTTGTCCGGGTTGTTGTCTTTTTGACATATTCCCCATTTCCATTCTCAATTTTATGACATATTTATCACTGGACGTTAAGTAACCACCAAACAATGAATCTAAAAATATTGTTTATGTTCTGTTATAGCTGGTGGAAAATCAATGACTGGATCTTTCACAAATCCTGGACAAGACGGTGGCACTGACGGTGGCGATGGGTCTGGAGGTAAATACACATTAAATAACAGCCTTTACACACTAAAAAATGATAGATTGATTTAGTGATTGGTAATTGCTTTACGCCGCATGAGCACAAAAGGTCTGTATCGCGGCGATAGAGAGAAGATGAAAATGTAAAATAAGAGTAAATGATGTCATTTAAAAAAAAATGATTCGTGTTGACTGTTTACTAAATGTCAACCTCGGCATAATAGATGAAGCTTTTGCGCGTATATGCAATTGTTCCATGACCCAATGTTACATGTATTGATGAATTGACAATTAATACGGTTATTTTACTCAAACAATGTTTTCATGTTTGCTTAGTTATTTAATAGGACCTTCACTAAGGGTTTGTTTTAAGAATGTTTCTATTTGGACTACCACAATTATCTTTTATAATTATTTCCTACAAACATGCATGACAAAAAGAAGACACCAATTTTTCACATTTTACCGCAATTCTGATGTTAAAGATTATAATTATACTTGTTATCTTGGTTCTTTACAGATAAGTGCACTGGTCCATCGTGCTCAGCACCTGGAAGTAAGTACTGTTTTATGATTTAGGAGGGTCTGGATGGGGTCCTTCATTTCTCTATTATTTAATTATTTCGACTATTTTTCTCTATTTTTTATACTTTTGCCCATTATTCTCTATTCTTTATATTTTAGAACCTCATTATTTATTCTCTATTCTTTATTTTTTGGTAAATTGTTCTCTATTCTTTATATTTGTTTGGTACCCATTATTCTCTATTCTGTAAATTCCCATCCACACCCTCTTTTAGTGCCCAAGAAGGTTATGTATCATTTTCGTTGACTGGACACAAAGTTATTCATGTGACACGTCAATCTGACCATTTCGTAAAGAAATTTTGTAACTGGATCTTTATTTTGACGGAATTTAATATTAAGTTTAAAGATTTTTCATATTGATTATTCATAATATGTTTTTACATCATCTTTAATTATTAAAAAACGTTTTTATATGCGCGTACAAAAATATTAAGAATTTAATTTTTAAAAATGTTAATAAACAGAAAAGAAAACTTAGTGATTATACAAATTGTTTTGTTACAATAACTGAACACAATTTGTCATATACAAACAATAACAATGTAACAGATTCATTAAGCAGTGAACCTTTTCGTGGTTTATGTTAAAGCATGCCAAGTCAGTAATATTAGTCGATAAAATGTTGTATTTACATTGTAATAATACGTGTTAGACACGCTCAGAATTCAATGAAGTATTTCCATTATCAAAGTTTACCTTTTTGCATGAAATTCTGTTTTATATTCCATATTTGGAAATAAAAATATGTGTGTAAAAATTAAACCAATATTATTTTATCAATCTGAATAGTTTCGTACGTCTTGCATTGTTCATACACACTTGCTCTCGCTCTTTTTGCAGTTCATACGATTCCCCCAGTTTTTGTATGTTACCTTTATTTGTCTCTTCCTTATCGACATACGAGATATGAACATCGGTAAACTATTGTTGTCTTATTATATACTCTGCTCTTTGATAAATCACCACTTAAATGCTGCCAATCAAAACCATCAGCCGAATGCAGACATGGAATAGAAACGAAGCGTAGAATGCATTGAGACAACGCCATGATCAAAATAACAAGTTCCATAAATGTAATTAGTATTCTATAAAATACTACGATGGTCTAGACAGTAATCAGCAAGCATACCACTGAACCAGTATGTCAGAGTAAGAGTAAGAGGTTTCTGGTGAACTAATGCAACTCATGGTAAATTATCAATTATTATTTTACACTTCGAATTGTATACACACTTCTTAGATCACAACCCCGGAGCTGTTGGTAAAAGTAGCGGTCATTCATCATGTCCGTCAACAGATTTATGTGCGAAAACCTGTAAATATACTGTAAAGTTAGGATCAAAGATGGCTGACGGATGCTCATCATGTGCATGTGAAAAATCTCAATGTATGTATGACCATTTATAAATGATAATTTCCTATCGTTAATTTAATCTACACAGTAACTTTATGATGGGTAGTAAAACGTTATCACATAATTTGATATAATAGATATTGGTATGAGTGCCAATGAGACAACTCTCCATCCAAGTCACAATTTGTAAAAGTAAACCAATATAGGTCAAAGTATGGCCTTCAACACGGAGCCTTGGCTCACACCGAACAGCAAGCTATAAAGGGCCCCAAAAAGGACTAGTGTAAAACCATTCAAACAGGAAAAAAACCAACGGTCTAATCTATATAAGAAAATGAGAAACGAGAAACACTTATGAACCACATCAACAAACGACAACCATTGAACATCAGGTTCCTGACTTAGGACAGGTGCAAACAAATGCAGTGGGTTTAAACGTTTTAATAGGCGCCAACCTTCACCTTACCTGAAACAATAGTGTAACATCACAACATAGAAAGACACAAATAACAAACCTAAACGAATATTACATGGTTAATATATGAATTGCAGGTCAATTTTAAGAATTTTATTTTTACTTCACATGGAAATTGCATAAAATTGTTGCACAATCGCTAATACAAAAAAAAATATATTTAAAGAAAGATAAAAATATCTATTAAAGATTTCTGAAGATAATAAAATTCGAAACATAAAGTTCCAGAAAACATGGATCACTATTTCCCTTAATGAATGTACTCCCTGTATCAAATTATACCTGCATTCTGTACAAATTATCTTCCTTCTTCTGCCTTTACAAAAGTGACAACAGAAGAGGCTCCAAAGCAGATTTTATGTGATGAGGTAGTAAAATGTATGATGTCCTGTACGGAAGGTTATAAACTACAGTCTGGCAGGGAAGGAGCCTGTCCTATCTGTAGCTGTCAACAACGTAAGTACATATAGTATGATGTCCTGTACGGAAGGTTATAAACTACAGTCTGGCAGGGAAGGAGCCTGTCCTATCTGTAGCTGTCAACAACGTAAGTACATATAGTATGATGTCCTGTACGGAAGGTTATAAACTACAGTCTGGCAGGGAAGGAGCCTGTCCTATCTGTAGCTGTCAACAACGTAAGTACATATAGTATGATGTCCTGTACGGAAGGTTATAAACTACAGTCTGGCAGGGAAGGAGCCTGTCCTATCTGTAGCTGTCAACAACGTAAGTACATATAGTATGATGTCCTGTACGGAAGGTTATAAACTACAGTCTGGCAGGGAAGGAGCCTGTCCTATCTGTAGTTGTCAACAACGTAAGTACATATAGTATGATGTCCTGTACGGAAGGTTATAAACTACAGTCTGGCAGGGAAGGAGCCTGTCCTATCTGTAGCTGTCAACAACGTAAGTACATATAGTATGATGTCCTGTACGGAAGGTTATAAACTACAGTCTGGCAGGGAAGGAGCCTGTCCTATCTGTAGCTGTCAACAACGTAAGTACATATAGTATGATGTCCTGTACGGAAGGTTATAAACTACAGTCTGGCAGGGAAGGAGCCTGTCCTATCTGTAGCTGTCAACAACGTAAGTACATATAGTATGATGTCCTGTACGGAAGGTTATAAACTACAGTCTGGCAGGGAAGGAGCCTGTCCTATCTGTAGCTGTCAACAACGTAAGTACATATAGTATGATGTCCTGTACGGAAGGTTATAAACTACAGTCTGGCAGGGAAGGAGCCTGTCCTATCTGTAGCTGTCAACAACGTAAGTACACATAGTATGATGTCCTGTACGGAAGGTTATAAACTACAGTCTGGCAGGGAAGGAGCCTGTCCTATCTGTAGCTGTCAACAACGTAAGTACATATAGTATGATGTCCTGTACGGAAGGTTATAAACTACAGTCTGGCAGGGAAGGAGCCTGTCCTATCTGTAGCTGTCAACAACGTAAGTACATATAGTATGATGTCCTGTACGGAAGGTTATAAACTACAGTCTGGCAGGGAAGGAGCCTGTCCTATCTGTAGCTGTCAACAACGTAAGTACATATAGTATGATGTCCTGTACGGAAGGTTATAAACTACAGTCTGGCAGGGAAGGAGCCTGTCCTATCTGTAGCTGTCAACAACGTAAGTACACATATTATGATGTCCTGTACGGAAGGTTATAAACTACAGTCTGGCAGGGAAGGAGCCTGTCCTATCTGTAGCTGTCAACAACGTAAGTACATATAGTATGATGTCCTGTACGGAAGGTTATAAACTACAGTCTGGCAGGGAAGGAGCCTGTCCTATCTGTAGCTGTCAACAACGTAAGTACATATAGTATGATGTCCTGAACGGAAGGTTATAAACTACAGTCTGGCAGGGAAGGAGCCTGTCCTATCTGTAGCTGTCAACAACGTAAGTACATATAGTATGATGTCCTGTACGGAAGGTTATAAACTACAGTCTGGCAGGGAAGGAGCCTGTCCTATCTGTAGCTGTCAACAACGTAAGTACATATAGTATGATGTCCTGTACGGAAGGTTATAAACTACAGTCTGGCAGGGAAGGAGCCTGTCCTATCTGTAGCTGTCAACAACGTAAGTACATATAGTATGATGTCCTGTACGGAAGGTTATAAACTACAGTCTGGCAGGGAAGGAGCCTGTCCTATCTGTAGCTGTCAACAACGTAAGTACATATAGTATGATGTCCTGTACGGAAGGTTATAAACTACAGTCTGGCAGGGAAGGAGCCTGTCCTATCTGTAGCTGTCAACAACGTAAGTACATATAGTATGATGTCCTGTACGGAAGGTTATAAACTACAGTCTGGCAGGGAAGGAGCCTGTCCTATCTGTAGCTGTCAACAACGTAAGTACATATAGTATGATGTCCTGTACGGAAGGTTATAAACTACAGTCTGGCAGGGAAGGAGCCTGTCCTATCTGTAGCTGTCAACAACGTAAGTACATATAGTATGATGTCCTGTACGGAAGGTTATAAACTACAGTCTGGCAGGGAAGGAGCTTGTCCTATCTGTAGCTGTCAACAACGTAAGTACATATAGTATGATGTCCTGTACGGAAGGTTATAAACTACAGTCTGGCAGGGAAGGAGCTTGTCCTATCTGTAGCTGCCAACAACGTAAGTACATGTATACACTGTATTCCTTTTGAATAAGGGAATTCATATACACCTTGAACACCCTCATATATATTCATGGCTTGTCCAACGTCAAGAAAATTGGATGCGGCCATCTTAAAATATATTCTTATTTTAAACAGGTAATTTTCTCTTTGAATTTTGTTCACCAAATGTATTGACTCATTTAGTGTTTCATGTTTTTCCTTATGATGTCAAGTTTTTTTGTCAGGAGGTCCAGTTTTTCCGGTCGTGATTGGTAAACTGGTTAGTTCTTTGGTTGTTTTTCATTTTTTTGTTATGGCATTGTCAGCTTGTATTCGACTTATGATCTACATGCTTTAACATACTCATGACAATGGTTTAACACAAACCTTGAAATGATTTTTATCAGTTATGCCTTTTCACATACTTCAGTCTTCTCCCTTAAAACTTGAGGTGTTATCGATGTTTCAAAAAATGCAATTATTTTCTGCGCCACTAGCGTCCTATGACTGTATTGTTTCTAATTATAATTATCAGCTCCAACACCAGCCCCTACAATGACAGCAATGAAGAACATTCTGTCGTGTACAGAGAGAACCGTCCACTGCATGAAGTCCTGTAAACATGGATACCACATGTTGAGTTCTGTAAACGGGGAATGTCCCCGATGTAGTTGTTTGCCACGTAAGTTCACACATACAATTATTTATAAACCCCCCCCCCCCCCCATAAAAAAATAAATATATCTACATATGAAAGTAAGTATGTAGTTTTTGATGTAAATATGAATAAAAGTACATTTAAGAAGACTTATTCGGTCCTTCTTTTTTATACAAGAAAAGATCGTAAACTGCATTCCTTTAAAAGTTATATTTAAAGATATTTCTTAAGTTGCTAAATTAGTTAAACTTTGTAACACTGCTTCTTCTTTCCTTGATTGTTAATATACTTCTATTTCTCATATCGATTGAAGTCTAGGGGCATTATGTTTTTCGGTCTGTGCGTCCGTTCGTCCGTTAATCCGTCCGTTCGTCCCCGTCGGTCCGTCTATCCCGCTTCAGCTTAAAGTTTTTGGTCAAGGTAGTTTTTGATAAAGTTGAAGTCCAATCATCTTTCTAATTCTAATGCAAAATTAGTGTTTTTCACGGTCCACTGAACATAGAAAATGATAGTGCGAGTGATCCGTGTACAATGGACACATTCTTGTTTAATTGTATATTTAAGTCAGAATTTTGAATGCACTGATACATGCATCCGCTTTTTACATCATCATTGTGTTGTAATATTGTAGAATGTCTTTCATCATTTTTTGTAAATACTGTATTAATGATTATTTAACCGTGCAGTATTTCCTGATTACAAAGCCACGCTGGTAAATTACTAGTCAGTGTTTAAAGAAGGAACAAGATAACCGAAAATCATCAGAACCTGTGTACAAAGATATTTTTATAAATACGACTCAAATAATTTCCATTTATAACTTGCATAGCTCCGACATCAGCACCAACTCCTAAACCTGGTATATACTCTGTACTTAGACAATGTCCAGAGACCGTACACTGTATGACAACCTGTAGTACCGGATACTCCTTAGAAGGTGGATCATCTGGCTGTCCAAAGTGCACATGTAACCAAGGTAAACATAGGATATATGTATGAAGATACTGTTCGTTAATGTGACGAAAAACAAAACAAAAGGTGTTTATAAAACATACCCAAGAGTACGAATGTAATAGCAAATATTTTAGTCGTGTATGTTTATATATTCCGTCTGAGTGAAGTATTGGAACACAAATTTACCATATCAATTACAAGATATTTCATATTTTCCTCATACTTTTGCCCTTGCAAACTAGGGTTCATTAGGGTCATGATTATACTATGCATACATACTTTATGCTTTTATCATTGAAGAGTGTCGCATGACATGGAAAAATTTTAGTCGGAACATGTATTTTATATTTACGAACGCTTGAATCATCGAGTGTTGGGTTGTCCTATATTTTGGCCTCGAGTTTCACTGACGAGATTTTAATTGTCGAAATTTGCATATGGTGTAGAAAAACTGGAACTGTTTAATGTTATTATACATAATGGTAAGCTTGTTGATTATGTCCTCATTATTATAATATTGATATGTACTTTTATTTTGATTATGTTCTTAAAAGACATGCCTGTATCAAATAAAACTGTTTTAATATATTTAAATCTAGATAACTATAATATCTAATGGTGAAACACTTCATAGTTAGTGATGTTATATAATTATTTAGCTCAAGTTGTGGCGTTCATGTGTAATTCGGCTCTATCTTGTCCTAGAGGTTGTCAGCTTGGATACAAATGTGGAGATAATGGCTGCCCAACGTGTTCATGTGTAGAAGCTACGGGTATTGTTTTATTTAAAACTGAAGGGGATTCACCTTTTGCTTAACATCCGTCCTACATAATTACTTAATGATATCCATGTTTCACGAAAAGCACGTAAACACAACACATTCTTTAGGAATAGAAACAAAACGTAGAATCAATTAACTTTGTTTTATTTATTATATATTTTAAAGGCACGTACGTTGTCTTGGTATGGCATACAAAGTCTCTTCTACTTTCATCGTCGGTATTGATGACGGAAGTTGTCTAGTAAAAGGGTACAAGAAAATGAAATCAGACAACCATACAAAATATCTAAAATTTTTATTTGAAATTCCAGAAAAAGTAAATTTCTGATGAGTTGCATTCGTCAAAATAATCCCAGGTACTATAATTCAGCCTAAATAGATAACGAATCAATCTAGTATAAGTTCGAGAAATGTAACAAATTTATGAAAATTGATTATTCAACCTTAGATATTCACTTCACGTACAGCGTACAGCGTTTAAAATTCTATCAACTACATTGAATAAAAACAACAGTTGTGATTTATTTTCATATCAATGAAATTTGCCTTAATATTTCAGAACTAGGACTTGCACACAGAGTCACCTACATTCAGTCTTCATTAAAATGTAGCGCACATTTTAGTTGTGTGAGTAAATGTCAGTTTGGATATAAGACGGGAGAGAATGGCTGTCCGACGTGCAGATGTTTACAACATATTTCAGGTAGAACATTATAAAACTGAAACTTAATGATTTGATAATACAACGATGCATAATATATTTTTGTTAGACAACTACTGGGAAATAATATATAACGTAAATGTTTATGTGCACACGAATGTTCCTCTCAATCTAAAAATACATCAATATAAATAGTAACTTGGAATTGTCTGGTGATCGTATCTTGGGTGTTCAATAATGACAAAGACATGTTGACAATAACAAACTATATTTATTGATCTTCTATACAGAAGAGTCTCATATAACAAAACAATAAAGTCCGGATCGTATCCGGTTGAGATATATGAATATTACGGTATGTGAAGTCCCGCTTTTTCTAAAAGATGAAATGAAATGATTAAATGAGTAAATGAATTTGAGTATTACCCAGTTGAAATTAATACTGAAATTGTTTTGAATAAAATAAATACCGACAAGGTTAAAGTCTTTTTGCCGATTTAACAAAAAAGTCTATATATTGTCTTTTCTGGTAACTAACTAAAACTAACTAAGTGCTTCCTAGCAACTACTTGACAGTTCAAAAGAAATTATTTTACATAGTCATTTAATTTGATTGGCACGTTTACTGTTCTTCCAGATCTTGTCACGGGTGACTTAGACGGTTCAATACTTTTATTTTTCTCGGACGCAACGGTTTCACTGCGGTCTAATGTTGGTGAAGTGTTACAGACAGTTGAAGTATTACAGACGGTTGTATTTTGATTGCTCTTGTAATGTTCGTGTTCAACTGTGTTTTCACGGTAAGCTGTTGGTCGTCTTATATGCCTACGGTTTCGTCTATACTGTCTGACGTCTGACGTTTGCACTACATACGAGCGAGGAGTGTGCATTATCTGTCCTGGTTTTCATTTTCTATCTGTGTACATAACAAAACAGAGTGTCCTTGTCTTAGCGGTTTCAATTTAGGTCCACAATAAAATTGAGAATAGAAACGGGGAATGTATCAAAGAGACAACAACACGACCAAAGAGCAGAAAACAGCCCAAGTCCACCAATGGGTCTTCAACACAGCGAGAAAATCCCGCACTCGGAGGCAGGCTTCAGGTGGCCCTTAAACAAAAATGTGTACTAGTTCAGAGAAAATGGACGTCACACTAAACTCCTAAACATATAGATGAACCAAAATTAAAAAAAAAACATACAAAACTAACAAAGGCATGAGGTTCCTGAAAAAAATGCGGAAGGGTTAAACATGTTTTGTGAGAGCTCAACCCTTCCCCTATACCTCTAGCTAATGTAGAATAAACAAACACATAGCAAATGTTTGTCATAGTTCATTTTATGTTTTCTTTGGCGGGGTTCGAGTTTGTTGAGTATTTCACGGTTGATGATGTTTTGTGGCATCAATAGCGGCAATGATGTAGGTAACAATATTTTCAATTACTGATTTAGAAAGATCAATGTCCAACGGTGTGTTTGGATAGTCTAAAAGACCTCTGTGTGGATCCTTCAATTTCATAATGAGCTTCTTGACGGTTTGGACACTTCTCTCTGCTTTTCTATTTGATCAAGCAAAGTGTGGGTTGCTCGTTGTATGTTTAAATCTATATTCGGGAGCAAATCTTTTGAATTCTAACGAAGAAAACTGAGGACCATTATCAGAAACTGATTCGTCAAATCTTGACATTAGCCGATGATGTTCTTGCTTGTTTCATTGTCCAGTTTCGTTACTTCCGGCCATTTCGAGTAGTAGCCAACTACAAGTAAGTAGTGTTGTGTCTGATATTTAAAAAAGGCTACGTCAAATTTTGACCAGGTTAGCTCTGGTATTTCAGGCATTAACATTGGTTCTTTCGCATTAACATTCTTATGTGGAGCGCAACGTCAACATGATTTGACTTTATCCTCAATGTCCTTTCCCATGCCGATCCAGAAAAGCACATCACGTAACAGCTTTTGCACTTTACGATCCCAAGATGTGATTCGTGTACTTTGTCCAACATTTCATTTTTTAACGCTTTTGGTACAACTGCTTTGTTTGACTTGTGCATAATTCCATCAATGACTAACAATTCATCACGGATAGGCCAATATGGCCTCAATGAGTATAAAAGTTAAGATTTTTTATTTGGCCATCCATCAAATAAGACATCTTGTAATTCCTGAAGGTGCTCATCATTTGCGGTTTCCTTTTGAAATTTAGCATACATTTCTTGTGCGATTGGCTTCATTTGTTTCATTTAGGAACAACCTACTGAGATGATCTGCGAGATACATCTCTTTGCCAAGTTTGTAGTCAACTTTAATACTTAATTTTCAAATGCTATTAAAAGTCTTTCTTATCTAGGCGGACTTTGGTGGGGCAGTTTAAAGAAGATTGCTTGGAGCGGTTGATAGTTGATTTGTTTGATGACAGACATATGGACGCAAAGTGGTTATATTTGTGACACTTTTTGCATTGTTTCCCAAATGCAGGGCATTTTCTACGCTCATGTTTACCGCCACAGTTTTTACAGTTGTTTGTGAAATTGGGTGGTTGCCCCTTGTTTTTTTGAGGTTGTCCCCTTTGTGTGTGTACTGCTTGCCATACGTTTTACCAGATGTAAAATTATTTGATCTTGATCCTTGTTTGTTCAACATGTTGATGGATTTATCTTCGCCTTCCATTGACTTTAACTGTGCTTTAGAAAGTTCATACATTCTTGCGAAATTGATTGCTTTTTCTAGCGTTAGTTCAGACCCTTCGGTGATGCAGTTTTCACGAACTTTGTGGTATTTCGTTCCAAAAACAATGGCATCGCGAATCATTTCGGTGAGGTATTTTTCGAAAGTGCACACGACTTAAACATTTATATCGTGAATAGATTTTGTTTGAGTTAGGTCGAACTGTTTTCGAAGGTCTCATAGTACACTTTAAGTTCCTTTTTGTCATCTTCCGAGAGATCCCAGGTTGAATAAATGTCCCTACCTTTGTTTCCGATCCATATCATTATATAGTTACATTTTTGTGCTTCGGCAGATTTAGATAAAGATCCCGCGAACCAAAATTCTGTGTGTTGTTGGAAAGATTCTCCAGTGGTCACCAGGTCTGTTGCTTCCCAGTCAATTTTCGTATGTGATCCTGGTAGTGTATCCATGATTTTGATTTATTTCAGCAGCTGGATTGTTCATGCAACTTTTGAGATTGCTTCCATCTACGGATGGCTTAATATCTTTATGATGGGCGATAGTTCATGCTGACACCATGTTCAATAATGACGAAGACATGTTGACAATAACAAACTTTATTTATTAACCTTCTACACAAGAGAGTCTCATATAACATAACAAGATTGTATCCGGTTAAGATATGTGAATATTACGGTATGTGACAGTGAGTGCCATAAACGGTCAAACTTATTCAGAGGTTCTGCAGGCACATAGTGAGTTACTGATGATCTATATCATAATTTTATTGAATGTCAATAAATGATCTTTATACCATGTTATACATCTGCATTACCTCCCTGGCTTCTTAATTAATATAAATAAAGGCTAGGTAAAAGAGGTCGAAAGTTTTTACATTTTACATTTGTACTTATCTCAATCTTTTTTTTATAGAAAAACAACATATAACAGTAGCTGATAAATGTCCAGAAGCTACAAGATGCAGTGAGATGTGCCCTGATGGATATACATTAAAGACTGTAGTCGGTAGAGAATGCCCTGTATGTCAGTGTGTCAGAATTATAACGGGTAATTACGATAATTGTATCTCACACCCAGGTCAAGCTTTCATGAAATACAAGCTCCTTCATTGTATAAGTTCCAAGTGGTAGTAATATTGTGCACACATATTACAGAATTTGTTTCTTCTGGAATAATGGGTATAAAATATTTGTTCCGACAAGAACACATAGTATAGCGTTGTTTATAACAAAGTTTCCAGTGGAACTTCTGTAAAGCGGAATATACGTTGACATAGCAATTTTGTTACATTAATATGTAGAGCACCATCTAGTTTTGTGAGTACATGCACGTTTGGATACAAGACGTTTCTAACGTATACTTTAGATCCCTAAAATATATACAAACAATACATTGAAGGTTTCAAATACACATTATTAATCAGTAGTTGTTGAGGTAAAATTAGTTTGATTGATCTTTTGTTTATGTTAGATAAACAGATTATGTCCTATTCCTTATAGTGATATTTTGACTGGGTCTTGAATCGTGACGTGTTATGTCTTCATAGCAGTAGATAGTATATATGCTTTCTTGTCAAAGTCCCTGGTCACGCTTAATTTTTAAGTTCATACAATCTCCTCAATTGTCAATCGATTTGTGCATTTAAGAATTGATTTGCAATACTATAGTGTTGCCTTTCAGTCATACTGTGTTTTTGAAAAATAAATCTTATTTTATAATGCAACAAACCACATCTTAATCATGATTACATTTAAACGAATGCATAATATTTCCTCACATGCATTTACCCTTAGGTTTTAAGGACGATTTAAATCTTTGTTTATACGAACTGCTGTAAACCTTTAATTCCAAATCTTCGAACATACGAAAGTCGGTTCCCAACAACTTTACTAGGACTGAAAACCTTCATTTGCATCATTTCAATTAACGGCAACAATGTCATTCGTTTGTGTCATACGACTCTGTTTATTCCACAGAGAGTTTCAATAAGAAAGTGGATAGTTGTACTGGTCCAGAATGCCCTTCAGGTATAGTAGTGTAATCCGTTGCTATAACCATTAACGTTATAAACGTTTATTATCTTTTGATCCAATTATTTCTTTATTTTCATGTTTCGTTGTAAAACTGAAAATATAATACTGTGGATTCATTATTGTTGGTGCGATACCAACTTATGTTGATTTCGAGAATATAGGTTAACCCCTTATTAAATGTTCAACGAAATACATATTTGCCATAGGTTTGCATGCTAATTTGGCATAGCCACGAAATCCAATGTCCTCTTAAGGCAATTTAATCTCAGTCCATGATTGAGGAAAAATATAACTTTTTTGAATATCTAACTTCGTTACTTCGGCAAGATCTGCAAACAAACCTGTTATATTCTTTGTTCACCTAAAGCCACGACAATTGGTATCCTCAACAATCATGAATGTTTTCCTCTTTAATATAAAGCTTAATCAATCAAAAGCTGAACATACTTTTCAAGGTTTAATATTAAGAGATAATGAAGAATATTCAAAATTCTTTGTTTTTTTTTATCGGAAATCCAACTTACTCTAGAAAACCAACTGCAAGCGAATTGTCTGAACAGAACTCAATTTACCGCAGTGGTTAAGGCTAAGCATTAAAAGACTTAACCCGACTGAATAATGTATTGTCCAGACTTTTCAGATGATGTTAAGATCAAAAGGACCATTTCAAACTCAAATTCATTTAACAGTATAAATTCCTTCATTTTTTGTAAAGGAATCTGCATTTTGTTTTTGTGTTTGAAAAGCTTTTAGGTGTTATAGGTATTAATGCTATGTTTGAAGAAGATTCAAATGACATAGTCTCATTTTTATACTTGATTTCTAAAAAAAGGTACTAGTTCAATTTACTACTGTAAATTCAGAAATTATTGCGTGCATTTATTATTGCGATTTTTGAAAAATGAACAAAAGTGCTATATTAATTATTGCGATTTCGGGAAAATCTGTATACAGATATATGTATTAAATATCAGAATGCGAGTTCTTATTATTGCGATCATCACCAAGTCGCATTATTCGCATTTATAAAAACCTCGCAATAATTTCTGAATTTACAGTATTCGAAGTTGATTTAACTTTCCTTCCTTCCAAATGATGATTTGGTTTCAGTTTGTTTTGATACTTTCTATTTACGTAGACGTCACAAGTAAGAGAATGAAATTCTTTTGTGTACAATTATTCAATTTCTATGTTGTGTTTTAGTGCTGTTGTTTGTCGTTTGGTCGTTTTTCGTTTTGGTCATGGCATTGTCAGTTCGTTTTGGAGTCGTTATGAATTAAAAATAAAATTGAGAATGGAAATGGGTAATGTGTCAAAATACGTCTTAATTTTGGCCGCCTCTGTTTTACATGCACTTGTTTTGAACCTGTTAATTTATTGGCTTATTGTATTTTCTTTTGATTAGTACATTCTAATGGATCGCCTTGAAGTTTTCCCTTCTTGTCTTAAAAGACAAAATTTGCCGTTATGTTATCAGGAACAAACAAAGAACAAACATCTAATATTTTAAGCGGATATAATATAAGGAAATACCTGTACCAAGTCAGAAATATGACAGTTGTTTTCCATTCGTTTGATGTGTTAGAACTTTTGATTTCGCCATTTGATAAGGGACTTTCCTTCCTGAATTTTCCTTCAAGTTCGGTATTTTTTTTATTTTGCTTTTTATAATGCTTCAATCAGTTGTGATCAAAGTGTTTTGCAAGGTTTTAGATTTAAACAACAATGCTGCATTTGTCTTTCATTACCTTCTGTTTGGTTATGCAATTCAAAAGATTGGAATAATACATGCGTTGAGTTATAGATAATTGCAACTTTCGTCAAAAGATTTATTATGTAGTGGTATTTCACTATCATTCGTGAGGTTCCCATTTTCGTTGGGTCCCTTGTTACAAGGAAACCACGAATTTTGATATTAAACGAATTTATACATTTCAAATTGGTTTGTTAACAAACTTTTGCAAAGACCCGAATAGTGCAACATTTTTGGTTATTTTGATAAAGAGATGATTTCAGCATCCCAATTGTAAACTTTTCATCCTATGTAGCAACATTCCAGTAGCGCCTACATATGGAGTATATATCTCCCAGTTGATACGATATTCCAGGGCTTGTATTTCTTATCATGATTTCCTTGATAGAGGGTTGCTGCTCAAAAGGAAGCTAGTTAACCAAGAGTTCCACGTGATGAAGTTGAAATCATCCCTTCAATTTACGGACGACATCACGAGATGGTAGACCGTTATGGAATATCTGTTTCACAGATGAAAGCGGATATGTTCCTAATGTCGTAACTACAACCCCGTCCCCTTTTCCCAAATGTGACCTACCGAATAAGACTTATTACTGGCTTTTTACTAACATGAGCAACACGACGAGTGCCACATGTTGAGCAGGATCTGCTTACCCTTCCGGAGCACCTGAGATCACCCCGAGTTTTTGGTGGGGTTTGTGCTGCTCAGCCTTTAGTTTTCTATGTTGTGTTTTATGTACTATTGTTTGTCTGTTGGTCTTTTTCTTTTTTAGCCATGGCGTTTTCAGTTTATTTTCGACTTATGAGTTTGAATGTCCCTCCGGTATCTTTTGCTTCTCTTTTGTATGCTTTCACAGAACCATGAAAGCCAATCAAAAGTGGTTGGAATGACCCTGTAGATTTTGACCCTACGACCTTCTGTAGAAATTATTGCGAGGTTTTTATTTCTGCAAATAATGCGACTGGATGGGTATCGTAATAATAAGAACTCGCATTCTGATATCTTACATATATATTTGTTTTCAGATTTTCCTGAAATCGAAGTTAATCTTGCATTTTCGTTCATTTTTCAAAACTCGCACTAATAAATGCACGCACCAATTTCTAAATTAACAGTATAGTCTTAGGATAACATGCTTTAAGAATCACTAACTAGCAAACGCTTATGGATTGTTTTTGGTTCGTTCGACAAATTTGTCATTCTGGACAACCTGATTGTTTTTTTTTTATAAATTTACCTAATTATGAACTTTCTTTGCCTATACTGTGCTTGTACTAAATCCGTGAAAGAACATCCGCGTCAGAGAGTTCATCGTATTGAATTATTGTATCATGTGTATGCAATTGTTTTTTCATCCATACTTCATTTAACCGGAATTTTTGTAAGTAATGTTTACGGCCGGAATGACATTTCACCTTAGTGCACCAATTCTGGAGCATCATGTGGAAATGTTACCAACATGTTAAAATTCACGCGTAAAATAACGAAATCTATAAAGTTGGGATGATTTTCAATCATTTGTCCTTAATTTCCTGATGTTATTTTGACATGTGTAAACATGGTTAATTAGTTCAGTCTGAATTTGTTCTGAGTTTGATGTTTGAAACGGATGTTGGCAGAATGTTGTCAACTGAATAATAAGTACAATTGTTCAATATTGCTTGTATGAGGAATAATTATGCACACAAATTCGATCTTATTTTATTTCTGAATATGTTTAACCGATATATTGCTAGTCGTGGTAATTCATATCACGTACAAAGGTTTTTAAAAGCGATATGGTACATTGTAAGTATAACTGTATAAAAAGGTATAAAATAGTATGGTCAGCAATTGTTTTCAATTATTACTTGTATGTTCAAAGTTAGAATTGTATGGTGACAATCATATGCCATCACACTGTACTGTTGACAAGATGTCTATCGCGAACAGACGTGATAATTATCGCAAAATGTCGACTGAGATATTTCAACAAGCCGACTTAATTATATGTCGACATATTTTTTTTTGACATTTCGACAACCTTTGCAGAAAGGATGCACATTCAACTGGTTACGAATGTTATTTAATATTTACGGTGAATAAAGTATTGTAACGTAGGAATAACACATAATTGCAGATATGGTATTTTAAACGATTTCATCAAAGCATAATTTCGTCTGTTAATAAAGGGACTGTAGTCCGTCCATCCATGATGACGTATGGACAGTTTGTCCTAAAACAGTTTCGTTCATTAATTCGTGTATCTACGTATACACCACCACGACTCAAGTTGGAACTCGTCCATTTTGTAAATGTACAGGTACGGGACGACAAATAAAACGGAAAACTACAAACAAACAGTTTTCTATGCCTTAATCTGGTATCTTTGCTGAGCTGTTTTAACCTGATATTTCATTGTTACTAAGTATGGTATGATAATAGGTCCTTGATTTTCAACTGGATTCCATAGCATACCATGCTTAGCTTTTTTGCTTCGTAACAAAACTGCAATTAAAATTTACAAAAAAGGCAGTTTCACTAGAAAACTTCAATTACATGAAAATATTTCAAAAATATTTTTTAACTGATAACGTCTTACAAAGTTATTTAACTTCTCTGATGTTTTTATATACTACTGGTTGAATCTAAACTACACCACTGTCACTTATTAAGGCGCTCGCAAACAGGTTTAACCCCGCCACAATATATATACGCATATCCTTTGCATGATTCTGTAATTTAATGGCTGCGTTGTTCGTTGTCTATAATATTAATCTCTCCGTTTATTGTTTTGTACACGAATTAGGCTGTTGCTTTTCACGTTTGAGTCGTTTAACATTTTGTTATACCAGTGTCTTTTAAAACTTATGATAGGTTATAGCCTTTTTTAAACTGTAGAAGGCCGTACGGTGAACTATGATTACTTACATCTTCGTCATTTAGTTTCTGTTTGATACATGCGTAGTTGTCTCATTGGCAACAATTCCACATCTTCGTATTTGTATAAAAACAAACTAATTAACTTTTTTAGAATTGTTTCAATGAAAACTACCCCTCAAGTATGATTGTATAAACGAATTGATCGATCGTTATAATTAGTCAGTTTGTAAGTTGTTTGGAAAGCTGTTCATTCAATCTGTTACATGTTTTGTAGACCCTCAATATAGGATAAAGGAGATGTTCTATGATTGCAAACGAGATAACTATCTACCAACGAACACAAGGACAAGGGTGTAAACATCCCTTACATTTACAGTTCAATGTTCATTATCATATTACTATTATCAATATAACTATTATCTACCACCCCACTTGCTGTTTAGATTTAACATCGGAATCGCTAGATTGGTGACGAATATCAGAGATTATTACTCTGAATACGTGCGATTCCACTTTAAATGTATATTAGAATATGATTAATATATGATATTTAAAATGATTTGATTATTGTGTATTCTATGTTTAAAGGGATTTTAGCTGCAAAATTCCTGTACATCTCTTTGATAAAAAAATATTACATTTAATTTGTATAGTACTAAAATTATATCAAAATTACAACAACAAAAAAATGTTCAATAGAAACATTTAACAATGAATGGGATTATATAATATATCAACATTACATGCTTATATAAGACTATGCGCTATCTAATTATCCACAGAGATGATCTCCGAAGAGTTATGTCATTTAAACAGATATAAAAATAGGTATAAATATAAAAACACAGACAAGTACTTGCAATCGTATAATGACAATTATTTAAAAGACTTTTTAATTTTATGTTATGGATTAAATATATATCTAAATATTCGTTTTACCTGTTTAAGAAAGATTTTGTTTATGCATGGACAGGATCAGTAAACAAAATGGCTATTCATGGTAACACCCTTTACAGTTTTTAATTCTTTTTTTTCCATTACCACAGCTTATCTAAACTAAAAATCCAGTTTAAAGTGGCATGCATACGGAATCAAATTAGGCTTGTAAACCAATGATACATCAGCAATGTTTTTTTAAGCTGTTTTAAACGAAATTGAAATAAACTGACCGCTAATCAAAGGATAATATTTCCCTTTTTTAAATGTTTGAAACAAACACAATAACTTTTTACTTTTTGTCTAATTTGTAGCGAATGTCCCTGCAAGTTATGAATCTATATAAGTGTTTTATTATACATAAACTGTTATGAGCGAGTAATGAAATATATCATTTTTATCATTCGAAAACCAACAAAAGAAGCTCCAAAGTTGGTGCTAAAACCTATTATCAATTGTTATGGTCTTCATTGTTCAAATTATAACCCAGGTACGTCTTATCTTAATTAACATTTTGAGATATTGTTTTTTGTTTAGAGATTAAAGTATTTTTGAAGGTTGTAAATTCCACGAGGCCATGTACTCGTGTACTAGATATTTTTGTTGAAATATAAATTGGCAATATTTACCCGCCTAATTACGATTATTTTTTAATAAATATCATTGACATTAAAAATTACTCAAAAAAGTATCTCCCAACACACGGCGACCTATCGGTTACATATATATATATATATAGTCTACTACAATACTGACAGATTCCGGCGTAATCTTATCAAGCATAATATATTTTAAAAGAGTTATATTTTAGCATAGTTTAGATAATACCTAAAAATTAATCTGTTAGAGTCTCTTAACCAATTTTTACTTGACTGTTGTTTGTAGAAGGGAAAAAATCCAAAAGTGCAGCTTTGGCCTGAAGCTGAAGTTTTTAGATATCAGAAAAAAAATAAGATGTTTTTCTTGGACAATCTTAACAGGTACATACAATGTAGCTAGGGACCAAAAATTTGAAAGTTAAATAATGTTACAAGCGTGATTTTGAAATTTAAATAAGGCAAGGCATCAAGGACCAAATGAAACCTTCGTTGGCGAATTTTGCCAACATAATTTCAACCTTAGTGCTATTCGACAAAGGACTTTCCGTTTTGAATTTTCCATAGAGTTCTGTATTTTTGTTATTTCACTTTTTACTAATTTAGGATCAATTTGAGTAAAATTTGAGGTAACTGATTCCATATAGACAAACAATTCAAACATCTCAATTTAACATGTTTCAATTGTATTTTTTTTTCATTATCAAAAGGACCAGTTCATCATTCATCGATGAAAGAAAGGTGTCCTGATACTTTTAGATGTGATGAAATATGCGACCATGGGTTTTCCTTACGGACAGTGTCCAGCCAAGAATGTCCCGTCTGTCAGTGTGCTGTTGTTACAGGTACATCGTATGTTGCATACTACTAGTATATAACAATTGTGGCTCATCCTATACATTTCGTAACTAGGTTGGTAGGTTTCTCTGCGAGTTCCACAGTTTGCTGTGTGATACTTCTTTCTCAATTAATTAACTTTTAACCTAATTAAAGTAGACTGTATTATGTTTTCCCTATTTTCGTTGCTGCGTTTACAGAGCTTTCCTGAATAAACCTAACGTTCTTAGTCAAACGATACCGAAATGTATTTGTGGTCTGAAAAGCCTGTTTATTCTCAATGCTGAAGATCATAAGTTCGGTCCCAAGCTGAATCAAGTCAGAGTTTTTTTTAAATTGGTACCTGCTACGAATGAGGCATTGAGGGAAATGCAACAACGTGGCAAAGTTGGCTAAGAGTTAGAATTACGTTTCCGGGTTAGAGAGTCAAATGCTCTCATAACTTTCAATGTCAGGTATTGATGTAAACATACAGCTCAGCTGTGTGTCTTTCAATCAAAATTGCATATTCATATCACAGTGACATGTTTTCGTTTTGAAAATGCATCCAATCTTTACCGCTGATCGTTTAACATCCACCAGTCAACACACAAAACAACCGGTACGGGTATATAAGGATAATTATAAAACAAATCTTCAATGTTTGTATTAAGCTTAATTCTACGACGTGATATCTATAGATTGCATCAATGCATTTTGATACATTTATCTATTTTTATGTCTGCGATTCTGTAATGTGAATGCTTAAAATATTTTGGTTAGCAAATGAAATCATTGGCCGATACACTTCTTCGTCTAAATTAAATTATTGTATGTTAGTATTTAATTTTAAGGCAGATCTATTTATTCGTGAAAAAAATGAGTAAATGTAATTATAATCATTTAAAATGTCCATGCTAGACATGTGTCTTTCATAAAAACATTAGTTCATTTTATTAACAGACAGGGGATCCGTGACGAAAAGTCAATTCGCATCCAGTAAAGGAAAGAACGTTATATCTGGTAGCGAATTATCACATAGTACTATAGTCAGTGGTAAACTGGGAACACATAATTCAGGCGGAAGTACAATAATGAATGGACCGTCAGGAAGCATGTCTTATCACGAGTCATTAACAGGTCATGTACCATTAGCTGGGCGCATCAATGGGGAAAATTTACATCAATCAGTTTCGCATAATTTACCATTACCAGGAGATTTAACTGATAGGAACTGTATAGGGCCTACATGTTCTGCCAAAAACGGAATGCATAAAGGTACAATATTTAGATAAAAACTTCCACTATTGAATACCTTTTTATATCTATTCATGATGTTGCAACTTCTACGTCTTATAAAGACAGCAGTGTTCAAATGAAAAACAATAAAACTTTAAAAATTTTGAGCATATAATACATTTACACAATACAATGCAAATATGAATATTTCAGTGCACATGACATTGAGAAACATGTTTTTCAAATACTTATTTCACATTGATGGGATAAAGAATTTCTAGAATATATCATAATTATTTTGTTTGTCGAATTTTCCCGAATTAGTAAAAATGTATAATTTGCTTGTTACATTTTAACATCTGTATATTAAGTCATGACATTACAAAAATGGGAAACCTGCTAAACTTTTTAATTATATTTTTAGGAACGACGACACATACTCAGCATAGCCAATGTGCTGATATATTGACTTGTGTAGTGTCATGTAAACATGGATATAAACTTGGTCCCAAAGGATCTGATGGTTGTCCCTCCTGTACATGTTTAAAATAAACTTGTTCCCAACGGATCTGATGGTTGTCCCTCTTTTATGTGTCTAAAATAAATTCGTCGTCTTTAACATTTATGTAAATTTCTTGTATAAGCGTTATCCTAATATTATAAAAAACTTTAACACAGATAAAACACCAAACACCCCAACAATTGAACGATTCACGAGTGCACATGTATGATAAATGTTTAAAGATATACACGTAAGCGTAACGTTTTAACGCCAACAAATCTATAGCAAGCATAGTCGATGATATCAACAGAAATACTTAATATTAAATAAGTTTTGATAAATATTACTCATTTTTCATTTTGTGAATTAAAAACAAACCAGATATGGATGATTGAATTGAATACATAAATAAAGGCAACAGTAGTATACCGCTGTTCGAAACTCATAAATCGATAGAGATAAAAACAAATCCGGGTTACAAACTAAAACTAGAACTAAAACGCATCAAATATAAGAGGAGAAAAATGGAATTACTCGTCATTTTATCTAAAACAAGTATGATTAGACGGAGGATTTAGGTGCTCACGAACATTTTTAAACCGGCTACATTCTGTATGTGCATGTCCTAAGTCAGACACCTGTATTCAGTGTGGTTCTTGTCATATATGTTTTTCGTAAATGGAATTTCTCGTCATTTTATCTAAAAAAAAGAATGATAAGACGGAGGATTTAGGTGCTCGCATACATGTTTAATCCGGCTACATTCTTTATGTGCATGTCTCAAGTCAGAAGCCCGTATTCAGTGGTTGTCATTGGTGCATGTCTGACATATATTTTTTTTCTTAAATTGTATCGTGTTTTCTTCTCATTGAATTGTTTCATTTTTCATGTCGGGGACTTTTGTTGCTGACTATTATTTACGAGTTTGTCTCTTTGTTAAAGGCCGTATGGTGACATATAATTGCTTATATCCACGTCATTTGTACTTTGACGGATAGTTGTCTCATTGTCAATCATACTACATCTCCTTGGTTTGTTTGTTAAATCACATTATTTTAGTGTCAAATAAAGGAATTAAGAAGGTCTATACTAATCCTTTTTTAACGTTAATAACAATCTACCAAAATCATCAGAAAAAGAAGAGGTTATCTGGACACGAAAATATTTTTTGCGTAATTCACTATAAATTTTGTTTAAGCTATTTGCAATATAGTTCATATCGAACAGGATTGCATTCGATTATTAACATGATTAAGATATTTATTCAACATCATTGTAAATTCAATTTCATATTGAACAAGGTAAGACCATAACAGGAGGGCAAACAAAAAATTCAAAGAAATATGGCCAATATAATTGATATTATAGATAGAAGACAGCTCAAAGATAATAACAAAAGCATACACAGATCACCAAAGAGCCCACTTAAAGCGTATGGTTAAATAAGATTTGTTTTACTTTTAAGTGAAGTCTCACTTGAAATTTTAAATTTGCACTAACAAATCGATCATTTATTTGTAGAAAATATAATAAATATCTACTACACATATGTATGTTGCTTATCGTCGAAATTGGACATTGAAATAGAGTCATTGGTAAAAGTTGTATCTTAACCGTTGGGTATAGATAGAAATAAGAAGATGTGGTATGAGTGACAATGAGACAACTCTCCATCCAAGTCACAATGTATACAAAGTAAACAATTATAGGTCAAAGAGTATAGCCTTCAACACGGATGGCTTACACCGAACAACAAGCTATAAAGGGCCCCAAAATTACTAGTGTAAAACAATTCAAACAGGAAAACCAACGGTCTAATCTATATATAAAAAAAAACGAGAAACGAGACACACTTAAGAACCACATCAACAAACGACAATCTTTTTTATGCTTTAAACATAATTTAGACCTATATCCATCATGTCCATGAAATATATGGTTTAACGGACTTCTTCCTCAACAATGTAATCCATTTTCTTGAAATAAAAGAAAACGGTAATCATGGATTATGTTATTCAATACTCAATTGGTTCGGTTGGTACCAATAATTATCTATCGTTTTTGATGAATTACAACGGAAATCACATCATAAAGACGAATTAAAATATTGCTTTTAAGGATGTTCGCTCCTCTTGTTTTATGAATTTTACAAGATTTTCGGAATCCTCTGGTTTTATCCATTTTTTGCCATCAAAAAATTTTGTCCACTAACCCCTAATTTTCTTTTCATAATTTTATTACATATAGTTTTAAAAGCCATATTTGAAAATCTTACAAAATCCTTGTTATTTTTTCATAGTTTTTAAAAGAGAAAAGCGGACAATGTTAAAAGTATGAAAAATCTAGAGAGAATCATTTCCCGCCAAATTTTCAGTGGCTTATATCTCGAAAACAAGCACACGGACCCTTCATTTTTTTCTGCTTTTTTAGTTCCTTTATTTATATACTATCATTTTATAACAGTCTTTTAAAAAGCTTGTTAGTTTGAAACAGAGTAGTGAACATCCTTAATTATGAATCGATTGTATTTCTGTCCGTGTGAAAGTGTTGTTTTTATAAGTTGTGAAATATTTTTCTTATATTTATCAGCATGACTGTTTTAACAGGCGTTGTCTTTTTTTTTGTGACACTTTCAACCTAATATGAATATATTGATGCAAAATTCCTCTTGAATATACCAGTGGTATACCAAAACATTAATGCATCAGCGCAACAGGATTTAATATTATTTAGTGCAAGATAGTTATTGGTTTCTACATGCTCTATATTAAGCTGTTTATTTTGATACTCAGCGATAGATTTTTGTAAAACTGCGAGTTTAACAAAGAATACATTTTATCATCCGAAAGATGATAATCAGAGTTTAGTTTAGTTCAAATGGGTCTCCGGAAACTTCATCACACACTTTGCTTATTTTCATTGTAGTTTTACTACAGAAATTTAAATACAATATCTTGCGTATTGAACCTTTTGACAAAGGGAAATAGAAGCAAAGATATGAGTTCACATATAATGGTGACCAGTGTGAAGAGTTCAACTGGTTTCACTACCGTACATATTGACTGAGATATGCATAATCATGCCAACAGTTGTTTTCTGTAGTTTAACGCCGTATGAACATTTTGAATTATAACTTGTAGATCTATAGGACTAATACTTTCTATTTAAAGAAGCCTGTTAAATAAACACATTAACTTTAATGAAATAATATTATATATCTTTACAAGTGGCCAACAGTAAAAGCTATAGTAGTTACCGCTCGACTCCGTCCATCTGTCCGTCCAAAATACTTTGGATAGGAAACTTTCACCAAAATTGTCTTGTCTTCTATAGAAGGGAACGATTTTATTTTTGGTCTGCAGCTTGATTAAGCTGAATTTTAACGTGTAAGTATTCTTACATCTGCCATGCATCCACTTTCTGTTAGCCGATAGTTTGAAATTTTACAACACCCATTGCACAAGAAAAATAGTTGTCAAACTTTTATGTCTTCTTTAATAGGATATGATTGTATATTTTGTCTGCAGCCTGATATTGTTGAGTTGAAGTGTGTCACCAATTTGTTTACATCTGCCGTTCAGCCACTTCTTAAGTGTCAATAGTTTGAAATTGTACGACACTCATACTACAAGGAACATTTTCATCAACCATTTCTTATTTTCTATGATTTTAGGGAATAGTCAGTTATGCTTTAGCATATATGTCATCGCAATCAATTGTATGCAGCAATCCGGGATTAGAAACGGCATTGGTTCTGTATTAAAAAAAAATATGCCCGTACCTGTATTACACTATTCACTTTACTTAAACAAAGCCGAAGTCGACTTTATACTTTTTTTACTTTTTTGTTTAAGCCCTTTATGTTTTCATTGTTCTCCGATAATTCCTTTATTAACCTTCTTATAATGTTTGTTTGCAACAAACCGGCAGAAAATTATTTAGGAAAATCATTTCTTGTACACAAATACTGCGGATTCATTATTATCCCTAAGCTAATTTGTGTCCGTTGCATTCGACTTCCCAATCAGATTGTTACCTGAAGAATTATATTTACGGTACCAAGTTTACAGCACCAGATACACATGTTGATAATGAATGTCTGTTCAGTGATAGTCGAGGCCAAAATATGTTGAGAACCAAAACCTAATACAAACGTTATAGAGCTGATCAACCACAAGGACCCAAAGTCTAGCCGAAACTGGACAAGGAATCAGAGCTTCGCATGAGGGAGATATATTCCTTAATCTAAAATAGTCGAAAAGTTGTTCACTGTACATTTTAGCATGTGCAATGAAATGCTTGTCGTGTAGAAAACATGATCACAATCAGTTAAAAGTATGAAAAATTGCTTTGCAAAAGGCTGAATACGGCATGCAATATGTTTGCTTGGACCTACCTCGTTTGACATTTCGATATGGAGGCAACATATGGCAGAAACAAAAAATGAAAAGGCAACCTCGTCAACACAAAACAGAGGTATATCAAATTTGTCGATAGGGTAGGCGAGGTATGTTATACAGCTTCGGTCACAAATTCCCAATACCAAAATTGAAAACTAAGACCATGCATGCAAATCTATATGCTTATGTAAAAATGGTTTCATGTAATGGATCCGTAAGTATCACTGCTCAAGACAACCTTATCTTAGATTAATATGCTGTTTATGCAAGCACGGATGAAATTTCGAAACTTTGGGACCTAGTATTTTAAAGCCTTTAGCTATGAGAACATCCCATACCTCTTAATGTAAATAAATTCAGACAGGAAATCAAACGGCCTGGTTAATGTACAAAACAACAAACGCAAAACTAAGTTTGAATATTATGTATGTTTAGGTAGAGTAAACTGTTGAAGCGGATTAAAATGAATAAAAAAGAGTTTGGCCTTAGAAATAGCACGAAAACAATAAACATATATAAAGAACTGCTATTAAGAAGTCAACCAACGATCTAAAACAATAGACAAAATCAATTTGGAATACATAAAGCGCAGTCTCGATATGTTTATTATAATAAAACGAACACTACTAAAGATCAACAATGAAAAAAAGCCTCAATAATCTAATT